ATAGTTTATTGTGGAATGCTTACCCTTGTTGTGACACGCACGTTTGTATATCCTGGTTGTCATAATAGGCAAATGATCTGATATTCCAATATTTAAAACTTTGACATTGTTTAGCCGTTCAGCATGGGTGCACCAGATGTGATCGAGACAGGTGCGTGATATGGGGCGTGTAATCACATTCAAACAAGAACAGAAATGTCGATAAACCTATCGACTTTTTAAACTTCTTTTGGAAAACATAACAATTGAAAATTTGCATTGTTCTTTGTTACAAAAATGTCGTTATTGACATTATTGTTGATGTATCTACATGCAGTACATGTATTCACTTCAAACCCTGTAACTCCACTACATCTTTTTGAAGTCGATAGTCGCATCGACATTTCTGTTCTTGTTTCAAATATTTCACAAAATTTTAACTAATTTCACACCACCCTTTTTAGATGGCCAATCAATTGCTAGTAGGTTGGCAAAACAGATCAATCGTATTACAAAGTTGATCAAGAAAGATATTGACAAATACAACAACGATGACCATGGAAATTTTCAGAATGAGTGTCTTCCTTTAACGATAGGTTTTGACGAGATCAAAGATCCCGATTGTGCGTTTTGGCTGATATTACATGTGCCTAATGCCGGTGATTCAAACGAAAATCAGAATTCAATTCCGTTTAACGTGAAACGTAAAGCTATTGATTTGTGTCATTTGTCAGATAGAGCAAAAGAAGAGCAAGTTCTACTGAAAGACGAAATGCGTAATACATTTCATCATTACCGGCAGCAACATGATCTGATTACAGATTTTATTATGGCCACTGATAACGACAACGCAATAGTTGATGAGATGCAGTTTGGCGAATTACTATTTTGTCGCCGGAAATTACTATATATAGAATGTCGTTTGCTTCAAATACAAGAAAAATTTTCGCCTCATATTGGAATTGAAATTCCCCGTATGATTATTATACCTGGACATGAGGAAGATGATGTTGTCCTGGAACAAGATGATGAGGTTGTAGGTGAAGAAAACGAGGAAGAAGTTGTCATCATAAATCCTTTAGCAGAGGAATCTGATTCTGATTGCGAGTATGAAAGCGACAGTGAATTTGCAACTTGTGACATTTTTCTGTAACTTCTACCATTCTCTGGTAGTCGCCATATTGTTCTATACTGTATACCAGTGATCCAGAAAAAAATATTATATACATATATTATTATATGAGTAGGTTTTGTCGACGAAACAATACCATATAGACAGAGAAAATATGGAATTTCGCTTACCTCAAAGTTCCGCAAAGGGCTGTTTCATCTAAAAGGAATCATAAACTAAAAATAATACATGAAACAACATGTTGCGGAACTTCGAGGTAAGCGAAATTCTATATATCTTGAAAAAGTTTCCACTTATTTTTCAAAAGAAGAACAAGAACAACTTCCATATTGGAAAAAGATGTGTGATCATGAAAAGGATTGTGAAATTGTAAAGGAACAATGGGTTAAAGATAGAATTTGGAAAGCGTGTTCGGAAAACGGATACATTTCTGCTAAACAACAATATGATATACACTCAATACTGATTCACAAAGTCATAATTGAAACATGAAAAACACTTTAATAATTTTGTAAAGATTATTTTCTTTAATTAAATATTCGCGTCTGTTACCTTTTTTGTGTCTGCAAGTTCGATTCTCGCAAGTGTTTATCTATAAAAGGTATCTACAAAAACTTTTTTTCCCAAGTTCCATTTGGTTTCATCTCTGATCTCTTCAATTTTTTCAGGTGTGCCCGCACACCCCCGAAAACTTTTCGTGGGCGACACGCAACGCGTGTGCACGAGTTCGATTCTCGCGAGCGTTTTTCAGGAATAAAAATTGCGTCACTCTCGACCAATCGGAACGCTTCCCTAGCCGTGACGTCATCGCGCTCTCGACCAATCACAAACCTGCGCGGATAAGGTTACACTCTACAACTTAAATGGACGCGCACAACACTCTTCTCTCATTAATAATAATAATAATAATAGTAAACTTTATTTGATGAGGGTAAATATACATTTTTACCTGAGAAGGTATTCTACCAAATGGCCCTCTAAAAATTATAGATAACCTACAGTATTTACAATATATACAAAGAAACAAGTCTATAGTTGCATTTGACACAGCATGCACATATGGGACTATACAACTTATAGTACCAAATACGAGAATAACTGTATTATTAAGCATACATGTTTTTTTTTTAGTTTTGACAATATAGGTTATTAAAAATTAAAAGAAAATTCAGTGCGAGTAACAAATGCACTTAACTAGGTTTTTGCAAGAAAGACACGAAAATTGTTCAAGATGGTCGACCTCATGATTAAGATTAGAGAAAAACCTCTTAACTTTATGCTTATACGCAGACGAGGAGTAATCGTTATACACTTTTAGGTTATTTGGTAAAGAATTGAAAAGTAAAACACCACTGTATGAGAGTTTGGTCTTGGAAAGATTAGATTTCACAGATGGTATTTTGAGATCAGCAACAGAGGAGCGAGTATATACATTGTGTGATGCCCCGGAGAAACAAAACAACTCGCGCAGATCACTAGGAGATGAACTGCACAAGGTGCTTACAACAAGTAAAATTTTTCGCATCTTAATTAAGTTGTAGACGGGAATCCATTCCAGTTTGCAGAACAGATCAACAGAAGGAGTTGACATACTCTCGTCCAAAGCCAATCTGGCTGCTCTTTTTTGAAGTTTAAGCAAAGGGTCGATAAGCTCATTACGTGCATTGCCCCAAATAGTGATGCCATAGGGGGTAGATAAAAGCATAGTAGAACTTAATTCTACATTTCAGTGGAAGGGCTGGGCAAATATGCTTAAACAGATAAAGCCTGGAATTAAGGTATTTATATATCTTATCCACTTGGTTGTCCCAGGAGAGATTTTTATCCAGTAAGATACCTAAAAGTTGACCAGAAGTAATTTCTTCAATCCAAAAATCCTCATAAAGTATGCTATCATAATCAAGCTGTGAATTACTTACGCTTCGAATAAATTTTCATGAATTTGGTTTTGCTAAAATTTAGAGCCATATGGTTGCTTCTTGCCCAATTAGAGGTAATACACAAGTCAGTCGACAAAGAAGCTTTGATATCAGGTAGCTCGTAGCAATGGGCTAAAAGAGTCGAATCATCTGCAAAAAGAGAAGGATGAGAGGTAGTAAGAAAAGATGGAAGATCATTGATAAATATTAAGAATAGTAATGGGCCAAGAATGGAACCCTGAGGGACTCCAGTAATCATTCGGCTCGAGCAAGGCTTTGGGGCAAGATCTCGCCGCAACGCGAACTCTGTATTATATATACAATACTATACTATATATATAATACTGTATAATATTATTTCCAGCGAACCACGCCCCACTGTCCTTAAACACTCTGACCTCAAACATCACTGTATTATATGTACTATACTATACTATACTGTTCAATGCTCGTCACTGATCCGAAATGAACTGGACTGCCAACTCAACGTTCCCCCCGTCCGTACAGAGATATTGCACAATACCTATGCCCATATTTGGAAACACACACAATACTATTCCCTATTATTTTCAAGTTGGTTCACGCTCCCCCCTCTGGAAATAATATTATATAGTAAACTACTACTATTGTACCACATTGTACAACGTCCGTCCGTTATACGGCTTTCAAAAACTCATTAATAATTCATGAAGCAATTATCCAATCTTGAGTAAGAAATTATTCATGTGCATACGTCTTTATACCAGCTAAAGAACACTTTAACAAAAGACCATTGTTATGCAAACTATATAAAGATTTTTATACAAAGATTTTTATATAAAGATTTTTATATAAAGATTTTTATATAAAGATTTTTATATAAAGATTTGACTTATTATGCATACGTTTTTGAAGTCATTTAAAAAACTCGCGGGTCGTGTTTTATTAGGTCTAAAGCCACTCGTGCTGCGCGCTCGTGGCTTTAAACCTAATAAAACACTCCCGCTCGTTTTTTAAATAGTACATCAACCATATAGTTTCTAAATTTGCAAATTGTCATAATTTCACAATCAGATACCATGGCATTATTGTACCATATAGTACAACGGCTATCAGCCGTGATAAAGTTTCTAAATTTGCAAATTGTCATAATTTCACCATCAGATGCCATGCCACTATTGTACCATATAGTACAACGTACGTACATTATACGCCTACCATGATATAGCTTCTATATTTCCAAATTGTCATAATTTCATCATCACATACCATGAGCACTATTGCACCATATAGTACAACGTACGTACGTTATACGGCTGTCAGCCATGATATAGCTTCTAAATTTGAAAATTGTCATAATTTCACCATCAGATATCATGGCACTATAGTACCGTGTAGTACAACGTACGTACGTTATACAGCTATCAGCCATGATATAGTTTCTAAACTTGCAAATAGTAATAATTTGACCATCAGTTGTCATAGCACTATTGTACCATATAGTACAACGTACGTATGTTATACAGCTATCAGCCATGATATAGTTTCTAAACTTGCAAATAGTAATAATTTGACCATCAGTTGTCATAGCACTATTGTACCATATAGTACAACGTACGTACGTTATACAGCTATCAGCCATGATATAGTTTCTAAACTTGCAAATAGTAATAATTTGACCATCAGTTGTCATAGCACTATTGTACCATATAGTACAACGTACGTACGTTATACGGCTATCAGCCATGATATAGCTTCTAAATTTGCAAATTGTCATAATTTCACCATGAGATACCATGACACTATTGTACCACATAGTACATCGTAAGTTCGTTATACGGCTATCAACCATGATATAGTTTCTAAATTTGCAAATTGTCATAATTTCACCATCAGCTACCATGAACACTAGTGTACCATATAGTACAACGTACGTACGTTATACGGCTATCAGCCGTGATATAGTTTCTAAATTTGCAAATTGTCATAATTTCACAATCAGATACCATGGCACTATTGTACCATATGGTACAACGTACTTACGTTATACGGCTATCAGCCATGATATAGTTTCTAAATTTGCAAATTGTCATAATATCACCATCACATATCATTGCACTATTGTACCAGATAGTACAAGGTACGTACGTTATACGGCTATCAGCCATGATATACCGTGTGTATAAAAAAGTGAACTTTTATGAGCTATAACTAGCCAGCGTGGCCGGCTCTTTTATAAGTAGAGCCTGCCCGAAAGCCCTAGTCAAATTGATGACTCTCGGCAGCCAGCCGCCGAGAATTGTGATTGGCTGAATTTACGTTGACGACAGTTTGATTGACATGTTACGCTAATATATTCAAATATTTAAAAATAAATACAGTAAAAACAAACGGCATCGCTATATTAACTCATTAACTGGCAAGCTGTTACAATGTTACCACCCCCTAAAGTGGCAAGCAATATGGCGAATTCATGATTGAATTCCAAACTTTCACCAAAATGCCAATATCTCAGAAACAATTGCATAAAAAAGTCTGATCTTTTCAACCAAA